ACAGCGGCTTAACAGGGAAAGGGGGAAAATTAGAAAAGCCTCGGTCTCGGTTCGAAAGTCGAAAAGGAAAAGAAGAGTGAAATAGATTTTATTCCTGATTTGAATGGATATCAACGTCTTTTACGACGGCTTCAAAGCTACCTAGAGGTTATGTACATATTGTTATATCATTTAGTTAACTGTTTAGTCAATAATAATCTCTATTGACGTTGTATACGTAAGCACTCTACTATCCGAGTTACTCGATAACAGAGGCGGCTCTCAGCCTCCAATCATGGCTGTTAATCAGCAAGCACCCTTGGAACCACACTACACAGCAGGTTAGACAGTTTCAGAAAGAGCGAAGGATCCAGGTACTTACAGGGGACTTGGTTACGTGTTTCGCCCAAGACCTGCAGGCCTATATATGTACTTAGGCAAGTGACTTGGGCAAGTGACTTAGGCAAGTGACTTAGGTAAATGCTCAATAAGTGCTTTTGCGGAGGATTATGTAAGTTGTTTATAAGTAGTAGCCTAGTCGATTTAGGTTACCTATGTACATACCTAGGTATTCTACCTAGGTTAGGTACCTAAGGTAGGTAGTTAGGTACTATGTAAATACTAGTTTAGGTAGTTTAACTCATAAGGAGAATCATTTGCGAATCCGGGCGCTATGTGCGATTCCCGACGCGCTACTATCAGATCGCCGAGTCTAAACCCTTATTTTCAGAATAGTCTCTCTTTCTCTTGGCCGAATCTCAAACGGCCTGTACTATCCAGTATACGAGAACGAAGGTGGAGGCGGTCCAAGTTGGACACAACATATATCCGAAGAATTGTAAACAATCCAAGAACCCGGGTCGATCTAATAGAAAATAGAAAGGGGCATCAGCCACCGCTAGTTCCAATCACCGATCACGTTTATGATGATGGTCGCAGCAGCTGCGGCCATAGGGCCATCGCAACTAAATGTCAACAAAGAATTCGTCGTCCCTATTGGAGGATAGTATAGCCTTAAGGGGTTCGTTCTTCGCTGGTCGTTTACGGGATATTTTGGCCCTATCAAAGTAGGCTGGGCACTTACATAGTATGTATTAGTTGTCTGCACGCTTTGACCCCGATTTGACAGGCAAAGTTTGCCAGCAAAGGCAGCAAAGGGGGACTCGCTATTCTATTGGACCACTCGTCAATCAGCTCTCTGCAACCAGTCGATGCCCATGTGTTGTGTATGTGGATCACTTGACACTACCATCTAGTGTATATGTATGTGTAGGCAGATATGCAGTATATGTTATATATATGCAGTAAATATGCACCATATGCACCAGAATCCGAACAGATGTGTCCTCAGTGGATAGGGTTGACCGCGGATGTACGTCGAGCGCAGAGACGCGACCAGAGGAAATGCACTACTGCAATATTCTTCTATTGTTCTAGAAGCGCATACGGGATCGACAGGCGATCCTCGATTTTGCCATGTATGTATGTATGTATATATGTATGTATGTATGTAAGCCTAGGGGTGGATATACTAATTACCTACACCTCTTAAAGGTGTAAGTCTTGACCGATGGTTCGCATTTAAAGGTGGTGGGAAAGGGGACAAGAAGAAGATATGACATATTGAAAAAGCAAAAGAGGCATAATAGCTTATTTTGATCATATGACAGTCGATTTGGCATGGACAGATAACCGACGTCTTCAAAAGCGATCCCCAGCAAGGATCAGGGGTACATAGAAGAAGCTCATCGAAAGCAAGTTCCTATAGTCCCCGCACCCAAAAGGGGGATACCCCGCTATTCGTTGGGATTCACATTTTGAAGGTGGCTTTTTTTTTTGTCTCAATACGTAGATACCTAGGTACCTTGAACAATTAGGTAATGTTAAAACCCGGCATTCCAGGCCCAGCCACATAGCAAAAAAAATTTTTTTTTTTTTTTTTTCCTAAACGGTGCCCGTCAACTACCTACATACCATACCTTCTACCATACCTTCATACCCGGTTGACAAGGAGTGGCGTATGCAAAGGGTGCACATCAATTTACTTTTTCATTCCCAATGTTGAAAAAAGGCTATGAAATGCGTGGAATGTCATTTTGGCAGATTGGGTCTTTCCACTAACCCCCTTTAGAGGAGACTCAGGCGTGTCAGACGCATGGGAAGTCTACTTACATATGTAGTATCAAAGTTGGATTTGGCTGGACTTGTTTCTTTAACGAATACGACGACTTTTCAAATCTATGTACATACCTATTCGTAAAGAGTACCTACCTACCTAACCTAACATAAGATACAATTACGATGGTAATGTAGCAGTCGGTTCATTGCAACGTCGACGCCCAAGAATGCATAGCCTCCTGCCTTATGAGTATAACCGCCGCCAACAACAATATTCAAGTTACACTACGGATTATCTCATCTCATCTCATCATTTTATCTTACTGCAGATTCTGAGCCTCCTAATCGTCTTTTTATATCTTCTCTCTCCGCTTTCGGCCGATAGGACGATATTGTCTCTTCACCGATATAGTGGCAACTTCGTGAAGACCTCGACTCCTTGCATATGATTCTTGCATATGATTCTTGCATATCAACGCCGAAACCGTCGCGGTGTTCGACTTTTGTCTGGTGTAACCAGCCCTCGATTATACCGTGTTTGCAAGACATACCTACATACCTACTTAGACCTCTACCACCCCGTTCGATAGGGATCTTGTTCATAACTCTGTATTATCAGATCAGTAGAAGTTCCAGTAGGTCGTAGATACTACTTTACTAGTTCAGCCCCCGTAAATATGTATTCAACCATGGTGCTACATACATATCATGAACAACAGCTGTGATCGTGTTCCGGGGGCATCCGAATTCGGCAGGTTGGTTCACGTAAAAATGACCCTTCGTTTACCCGAAATCCTATCTGCTTCCTCTATGCAGTCGTATTACTATGCATACCTATTTAATCTAACTATTTTACTCGATCTATCATCACAGCTTAAATCTACTCAAATACTTCCATACACTGCATACCTACCTATGTACCTATCTATCTAACCTTGAAGCAAGCTGTGAGACAACGGCGTGGTGAGAGCATGGACGCCTCACTTTTAATAAATCGAGGCATTTTCAAACCGGTACGGTAAGTCCCGTACCTAAGCGAACCCCTTGAATAAAGAGTAAAGAGTAAAAGCCCCAACAGCTGCCACCGTGACACACACAGCAATTGAGTCCAGTTCCATCCCTCTGTGCGGAACCTATGGAAATGACTGCACAACGGGCCGGCCCTTTTACTACGCAGTAACTACATACATACATACACTAGAAGGGGGTCTTTACTATGGTAACGTGCACAGAAAAGATTCGGTCAGGGCGTTACGAGCGAACGAAAGTCTCATACATAAGATGAAGACCGGCCCCGCCGCGGATCACTCCCGCAACTCCATTTCTTGGGACGGTTAGGTAGGATAAGCATCCCCACCAATCCCCCATCATCCCCATATGAAGAATACTTCTGTGGGGATACTTAAACCGAGACGAAGGATGAAGTCGTAATAAACAACGTGATGAACACATAGCTTCCATCAGATCCCGCATGTTCAACATCATATGGACTGAAGAACTGCTTACCACTTAACCACCAGTGTACAGGACACTAATGTATAGGATAAATAGAGTGCTGATCGATATCACGCCAGGCCCCCCCTTTTCTCTATCCGCAACCTCAAATTGCTAACCTAGTGTATGTACGAAATCAACTTTGAAAATTCATTCAGTCATTACATAGGTGGATGGCGCTGGGATAACCCATGTGAAGGATAATATGGCGCAAACTTTCACTGCCATAACATATGTATAAAAAATAAAATAAAAAGCTTACTTTCGTAAATACGAGAACATAGCCAGGCCAAAGTACATACCTATAACTATACATACATACATATCCATGACAAGCAAACCCAAGCAGGATTTGCGAAGCAGAAAAGATTGGGTCGATTATTTACCAGTACCGCTGATAGTCGACCATTCTGTATCTTCGACGCAATCACGCAAGGAATGAACCCCTTTATCTGAGATCGTTGTCTCTCTCCCTTGCTTGCGTAGCTGCCGATACGACGGTGGCCCACCAACGTCCCAAGAACACGTTGCGGGCGACGAAAAATGCCTACCCTCTCTACATACCTTGTCGGCCTTAACGACCACAGCACTTCCATCCCCGACCCTCTCGCTCTTAAGAAGATGCCGTTTTGGGTATCTTGAACTGTCTTGAGTCGAGTCCTATGTACATACATAGTGTACGCTTTACATACGCTTCGCATACCGTCCGGGCTCAGAGGCGAGGCGATCGACAGATCAGCAAGGCCGGGCTTGCTCGCCCCCACGCGGCGCAAAAACGGCTTGGGGACCTGGAGGCTTACATACCTACCTAGGTATCTAAGGTACCTAGCGTTACATGTTAATGAACAGAGGAATAGCAACCCCGGCCCTTCCACATGGCAGCCTGTATGTATGTACATAGTATGTAGGTATGTGTGCAATGTAGCACATACAGCCACAATACTAATCAAGGTCCCCAATATACCGTCAACTAAGACCCAGGCCTCCTAATTTTAGGGGGTATAACAGGCAACGGAAAGCATAACGATGATCTAATGAAATAGCCTGGATTGCGACCGCAAGCCGACAAAGCCGACATCGTCGCCGTAAGATGGCACGGTCGAAGCAACCGTGACAACATCAGCCATCATCATTATTTTCTTCATCATCTCACCAATTTTATCAATACGTATATATTACAGCCTACCTAAGTTTCGTGCTATCGGCCGAGCAATTATTTCATTTACGTTGACCGCTCTTCCGTCTCCCTGTCCGCGTCCCCGTCCGCGGAAAGAATAATAATGATAATCATTATCACGTATGTATCGATCAAGGCGCAAGGGCACCGTCGTATGTATGTAGTAATTAACGTGACGCGCAATAGGGCACACCACACGCTCAATTCCTAAGAAATACACTCACTAGAGATAACAGCAATTCGGGGTTTGGAAAGTGACATCAAAGTAATAAGCCATCCGATCACAGTTACATATATACCTACCTAGGTAGGTATGTATAACCGGCAAGAAATCGACGTGCCGACTATGTATAATTAAATTACGAACGTCAAAATAATCTATCCGTCAGCTCGGGCAGATACGCCACGATCGATGAGTTACCTCCTAGAGCGAGCAAGCCTGCAAGCCTGCAAGCCTCGCATGCAAGGTACATACCTACCTATCCAGACACGGTGCCCACGATCTAGGCCATATACATAGGCGGTCAGCAACGCATCTAATTTTTCAAAAAGGGAAGACGTCGGCCAGACAAAGAAGCAGAACAACATAAGACAGCATAAGCATAACATAGCATTCATTAGCCATTCTCATCTGACACATCTTCGTAGCCTACAAAGACTACGTAGGTAGGCAGGTAGGTAGGTATTATTCATCATTCCTCGTAAGTTATTTAGACCGGCCTCACTGCGCCGCTACATGCAATTCAAGGTAATAGGCCAGCCGTCTCGTCCAGCGCCTTGTTTAATAATTCCGTCGCGATGGGGTCTTGGGGGTGGATGGCGAGCGCCTGGTGCAGCACTTCGACAGCCAGGTCGAATTTCCCCCCTTGTTCCATGTATATCAAGCCCTTGGCCGCAAATATGGACGCGTCTTTGCCGCCCTGCCTCAAGACCTCGTCGAACTGATCCAGTGCCTCGTCGTAGCGCTTGGCGCGACGGTAGGCGTGCGCCAGGTTAATGCGTGCTGAGATCCAAGCATTAGGTTCCGAGTCGATATCTTCTGCGACTTCGAGAGCCTTCAGGAAGAGCGTGGCAGCGTCCTGAGGTCGGTCCTGGTGATAATAAACGACACCCATCTCATTAAGTAGCAACGGGTCTGTCTTGCAGAGGCCGTAGGCCGTCTTGAGGAATTCGTCGGCCAGAGTCATGTTATTGAGCGCGTGGTTCTGCATCCCCAGGAATACCTGGGGCAGATGCGTGCCCATAAACAGCCGTGCCGCCGTGGAGTACGCCGATATAGCCTGGTCGTGCTCGCCCTCGGCCGCGAACGTGTGCGCGAACCCGATCCAGGCCGGCCCGAAGTGCGGATCCATCATGCTAGCTTTACTAAAGTAGCGCCTGGCTTCGGCGATCTTGTCGATGGCGAAGTAGTAAATGCCAACGGCGAGCCATGTGCAGGGTTCTTCCGGATGCGTGTCGGCGAGGTCGTGCGAGATTAGGAAGAGTACGTTTTTCATCCTGAGTTCGTACAAGCAGGCTAAGTGTAAGGGATATATGCTGAAGTTATATTTGTCTTCTTGAAGCACCGACTCGGTAATTGCGAGCGCATCTTTGTATTTGCATTGAGTGTACAGTAAATCTGCTCGGGCAAGTAGCAGGTCAGGGTTTGAGGCGAGGTTATAGTGTGTAGATAGAGTCTCGCAAGCAGTTGTGAAAGATGCTGGGTTCCTGTACTTGGAGAGTCGGGTGGTGTAGAGCATCTTCGTAAATTCGGCAGCCTCCTGCGAGGAAGATGAGTCTCCAGAGACGTTAATGGCATCGAAATCCAAAGACTCCAAAAACTGCCATTCCTCATCGGGAGACATAAGTGAGTTCTTCATTAACTGTTGAAACGCCTCGAAGCATTGGACGTCGATGCGAACAGCATCTTTGTAACACTCCTTCGCCCGATCGAACGCGTTCTGCTTGGCATAGCATATGCCTCGTAGAAAGCACATGGCGGCTTCGAAGCGCTTGTTAGCTGCTTCTTCCTCCGATAGCCCATCTCTGCGCTCATGCACTTTGGTGGCGCCTCTTCCGTGGTGAGAGGCAGTACGTGTGCTCGTGTGTTGAATTTTGCGCTTAGTTGCAGGATTAGAAATTAAGTGTGTGGGATTTCGTTCACCAAGCACCACAAGGGCTTCGTCAAACCGGGCCTGTTTGATGAAGCAGTGAGCAGCCAGGTATCGACAAGAGGGATTCCGGGAAATGAGGTCCTGTTTGGATAGGAAGGTCTGGGCTCTGGTATAGTTCCCAGTAGCGAAATGAACTTGCGCCAGCCAAAACGCGTCATTGTCGTCATCTATAGGACAAGTTCAGCATAGACTTGGGACATAAACAACAAATATCAAATATCAAACCCACTGGTTAATGCCAAAAGTTTGTCCCCGATGAAAATAGCAGACTCATACTGTGCTTTATTTAAGGCGTCTTGCCTCCATTCTCGAAGGAAGCTTTCCATAGTTTTATAGCTCTCTGGGCAGGCTCATAGATATTGAACAGAGTGAAGTTGTAGACACTGGCTTTTTTGATGTATTGTACGGTATCTTTTCTATTCACGTGCATTTGACGTTTGGCGGTTAGATTCGACCTTCTCGCGCGTGGTGGGGCTTGCATTACAAAGGTACCTAATGTATGTATGTACTTGTACCTGAGAAAAGCTGAGCCAGCACTAATACATGTAACTCCACCAGTCCAATAGTGCTGGGTTAGGCTGGGTTAGGCTGGGTTAGGGGTATGTAGGGTAGGGTAACCGCTCCTTCAGCTGCAGGCTGCAACAACAAATACTTTTGAGCCGCATCCTTTTTAACAGGTAATTAATCTTACCTAACTTATACTTTTGTCAACTAAATATTTACATAGGCTTCCTTACTACTTTGAATATAAAATCCAGTTAACTATATTTTATCCTAAAAGCGTAAAGCTATAATACAGATAAGATTGACCCTTACTAAAGGTCATGAAAATGACTTCTTTGATATTGTTATCAACTCTTTAAGTGCCAAATCGAATGACCTACTCCTTTCGATCGGCTTAAGAATACACTTAGAACTATCTTAGTCTAACGCGGTAGACATCTAAAGAAATAACTTACTATAGGAGTCCGAGCCACGCCATAGCAGAACTCTAAATATAATGGCAGCAGCCAACAGCCAACAGCACAGGCGGTGACTTCAACCATTAGTCTATATGATTAGGTTAAGTCAATTATGACAAGCTTAGTATAAAGAAAAACTATGCTCGTGTAATGTTCTCAGATGCCTACTAGCTTAGGCGTTCCCCCTTAGAACAAAGCTATCATACAATAATACAAACTTGCAGTCTGGTCACCATGATGGTTATTATTGTTGGGATCAAGACTAATATATATATATATATATATGTCTATATAAATGCTTTCGTGCCCAATATATTTTATCCGTTGCAATACACCAGAATAGACCCAAGAAAGGAGCCAATCGTACTCACCAGCACCAACTTCTCTGCCCGAATACTTAGAATCCTCTTTACTTAATACTGGTGACTTAACCGACTAGACAGCCACTTCTCCCGCCAATATGCACCCCCTAACTTTCAGCGTCGAACTAGAAGCCGTATACTTCTTCAGCCTTCGCCCTGCCGGCATCCACAACGACCCACGCCTAGCTCCCGTAGTCGACATGTCGCCCCAAGGGAACCCAAGTTTTACGGTGCATAATTACGACCGCTGGGATGATATGAAAGCCGAGATGATACGCCGCGTATCGTGTGCGATCAAAACCTGTCTTTCTGAACTCCCCCAATCTTGCCGTGGCGAGGTTGTCTCCCTAGAAGGTGATCCCGTATTAAGCCTGTACCAAGAGTGGAAGGTCGAATCCGGCAAGGCCGCCGTAAAGCGAGACCCTGGACCCCGGCTAGAATACGAGGGTCTTTGGGAGATCGACCTGGAGGTCCAGTCACCGGTGATGTATGCCACCGAATTTGGCTTCAAAGAAGTCGAGGCTGTCACCAACATGCTACGTGCTACTTTTCGGGCTGCAGTCCCGCCATATTGTGCAATGCGCGTACTCGTCGGCACAGGATCCAACTTGGTCCCCCTGCCAGTTTTTATAAAAACGGCTGCCGTTTGCTGGGCTGGTGACCGGATCCTCCAGCAAATGCATCCTATTTCGCGCCACTACAACATATGGCGCAAAGGTCCGCGCGAGACGGCTCGACTCGATCAAGGAGAAGAGGCGGAACAGGCAGAAGCTAAACCCGTTGAAAACCAAGATATACCCATACAAGAGTATATCAATAAAGCGCGACCGAAAAGACTCTTAACCGAGTTCAAGCGCACGTTGCCGCGTGACAGACTTGACCTTATCCTCTCCCAAGAACGAAATATACACTTCAACATATACGAACTTCGCCGTCCCGGTCGGCTATTAGAGCCTATTACCCGCCCTGATATCCTACAAGGGGCCATACAACTCTTCAGCTGTCGCAGTCACAGCGCGGTCGCGAATCTAATAAATATCAACTCGCTTGGCGCATACAACTTCAGCCACTACAGCGACGAAAAGACAGAAGAGAAAGATACCAAGGCAACAGTTGAATTCTGCATGGCAGCCGGTTCGCTAGATGGCCACTGGGTATCAACGCATGCCCGAATCTGTACCGGCATCGCACAATTCGCCGCCAGCGCCCCGGAGGAGAATGTGTGGCGGATGATTTATGAGTGCCACAGCGCAGGGATCGACAAGACCGGGTACGACATTATCGACCTCTTATTAGATCTCGACTTGGCGAAGGAGGCCGAAACCGTGCAGTACAGGTTCGAGATGGGCAGCTCTTTTGGGGAGACGCTCCAATCGTTCTTGGCGAGTGAAAGGCTATAACATATGTAGTAACTTACGAAGACGGTGTCGCGGACGGAAACGATGAAACAGACCAGGCCATGCGTTCGGGGCGGGCGCATTGAACATCCATTATATGTTCAGTTTTGGCATTTTTGATGTTCGGCAGACTTTAGTGTCGAACACCAATTGTTTGGATAAATATGGATCGATAAATGTCGTACATAATAGTTAAAGGAGGAGGAATCTTCTTCCTACGAAGATCTTTCTCTTTTAACGTTAGCAGCAGTAACAACGGGGTCGCACAAGAGATTTACGCCTCGTATATCTCCGCGAATTACGAAGTAATATAACCCGTGCTGGGCAACTAAGCCATGGAGAGAAAAGGAGATATTTTACAACGTTGTTCGTATGTAACTAGCATGTAGGATTTGGGGCTGGGGTCGCATTCCGCACGTGCAAGCCAAGTATAGCAGCCTCATTATTGGGCGAGATTGGAGGCTCCCTGGCTCCCTGGCGACGATTCTCTACACTCGTGGTGAGTGCCAAGGGTTGGCGTGGTGCGTGACGTAAGTACAGTCAGTGCCGTCCTTGCCGACTGTTCGTTGGGTTTTATTTCTCGAGAAAAAGGGGAAGATTGGCATTATGGAAACGGTAGAATTATCTGAAACTGGAAAACGGATCTAGGCAACAATAATAGAAGATATTGTCAGATTACTATATTCTTTTTCTCGTGTAGAATCAGAATCATGATATCAATAAACCATGAGAAAACCACTCGCTGGACTGTAGAGCGAGTTTTCTACTGTTTTAACTATTCGTGGTCGCCGTCTGGTTACGATGCCGAATATTTATAGGTTAGTGGGCGCTTCCGTAGTCGCATTGTCATTGATAAGTACGTTTCCAGCGATACGAAGAGTCGCATACCTACAATTAGACTAATGCGTATGGTTTTTCATAGTCTTCTTCATACAGACGGTCGATGTCGACGTTATGTACCAATGGCATCTCCTCGCCCATGGTAAGGGAAATCCATTGCCTGACGGTATTATAGCGGGCGGAACGCCTTTGCGCATCATGTTCCTAGGCGCATCAGTCACGCGCGGCGAAGAATCGGTGGGCAATAGAGGATATCGGAAGCATCTTCGCGATGAACTCACGGCACGGGGTAATCCGGTCAACTGCGTTGGCTTCAACCGGTTTGGCAACTTTCTCGACAACGATGTTGAGGGCTATAGTGCGAATCGGATCAGGCAGGTCCGCAAACACGCGGAGCAGTCTGTGCCATACTTGCAGCCGAATCTCGTGCTTATACAGGTTGGCACCAGCGATTGTTTCCAGAACGACGATCCCGCCAACATCATGTCGCGAATGCGCGATCTAGTCGAGTATCTGCTAGAAGCCTCGCCGCGGGCTACGGTTATCATGTCGACCATCGTAACGACCCCGAGAATGGAGTTTGAGCCGTGTATGAAGAGCGCCAATGCCCAGATCCGTCAGGCAGCTACCGATCTGATTCGGGAGGGGAAGCCGGTGGCGCTGGCGGAAATGCATTACGACCAGGAACTTCCCCGCCGGCCTAGGCCCGAAGACATCGGCCACGACAAAATCCACCCTACTAGCTCAGGGTACTTCATGATGGCGGATATATTCATGGAGAAGATCCGCGAGGTCGAAAAGAAGGGTTTCTTAAAGTACCCCGTGGACAACGGCATCCCTGCGGACGGCGAGGCTAGCAGGGAGGTGGAGGATAAGTTGAAGGAAAAGGCGGAAAAGGAACATCCTCTGAAGAGATAGACTTAAGGACGACCGGTCCTAAGGGATAACGGTCTTATTGCCAGTCGTTTGCGATTTAATCCGATCAAGTATGGAGTAAGAGTGTTTTTGAAATTTATCCGGGTCTGGGAACAAAGATGTATATCATCATCTATTGCGGCTGTTTGTACCATAAGAGTACATAGGAAAAAAGATACCCTGAATGCTGTCGTTTCACATAGAACTTGGGTAATAGGGTGCCTTGGTTTGCGCAGTAGACAGAAATCTATGTTTCTGGTTTGCTACGCATTCATATTAAGATATGAATTGGATAATATAATCTTGGGTTTAGTGACTTGCTTCGAGGGATCCGGAAAGTTTGTCATTCTAAGTTTGTCATTCTTGATGTTTGTAAACAGAATAGGAAGAGCCTTTGATATGTAATTTGATACGTTATTATTATATCTGTCTAGTTAAGTGTTAACATGGAAGGTGTAGTAGGAGATTGAACCAAATAGTTGACTAACCTAGATGGAGGTAGAGTAGAGTTTATCCCTTTGAATATAATCCAGATTGGGACTATACACCTAGGTTAGGTACAGGTAATGGGAAAGTTATAGCGGATAGAAGCATAAAGACTTCAATTGTCAAATAATAAAAGCGTCAAACGTATTAACGGAAGAATTACCCTGTCGAGTCCGTTTCTGCAGAAAGCTAAGACGGCCGGTCCATTCCGACTATTTAATGGTTCCATCTCTGCACGATCCGAGTTTACCTAGGTAAGGTTCACGACTAGCAAAGCTGCCGTCCGTATGTACATATGTACCTACATATGTAAAGGTAGATACGTCACCTGCCAGGTACGACGTGACAGAAAGATCGACAGGGTTTTCTAGCGTACCTTAATGTATACACTATGTATATGTAAGGCGGGCAGGGGGGTAACTAACACCGTTACATACATGTACAAAACCGCTCGGAGTGTTTGTGCAAAGGAAATCTATATTTGAAGTAACGATGCACGCTACAGAAAATTAAGCTTATATTAACATGCGCGCATATCATGTCCACTATATGTACATAATGTATTAACCTAACCTAGGTACCTTGTATTTGGTGTTGCGCCATAGATCAATGGATAGCCCTGCAATTATCTGCAAGATCTAGACCACGTATTTGTAGATAGGAAAAGAGCTGGTAACCTAGTAACCTATAGTATTGTTTGCATTATGTAGATCTTTTTATATTATGTACATTATATATTATGTACATTATTAATAAAATTCAAAACGTGGTAACCTAGTATAATGCCATTCTTTGCAGCTTACCGATCCGAATATGGGCTTTGATATGTTGCTCCTTTGTACTAAACTACCTGCTTTGGCTCTAAACGCTTGGGACTAACCTAGGTTAGGGTCATATGCAAGAAATATTGCGGGCTTCTTCTATTGGGACTATAGATATATTAATTAAGTACCTGGGTAGTTTGGTAGTTGGTAATTGGTAATTGGTAGTTGGTAGCTATTAGATTTATAAGTCAAGCATGTTACTATGCAAGGAGAAAGAAAAATAAAATAAAATAAAACCCTCACCAGGCATTCCTTGTCTAATTCTACCTCGAGAAAAGATCCAAGTCGGCATTTCAGAAACAGCTACGATCCTTCCCATAACTATGTCACCTTCCTGTTTCCACCTCAAGGAGAAAAAAGAATTCCGTTTGTAGTAAATATCGTAGTTGTAAAGACCGCGCATCCCCGAAGGGTACTTAATTAGGGTCTTTTGTTAGAGTACCTGCCGTACTTTCCTAATGAGGCTATTCAGGCTCTAGATAGCAAATAACTCCAAGTGAATTTGTGCTGGCACCTGTCAGGAGATGTACTCTCGGGCCGCCTAGGGCACCGTAATTGCCCTTCTAGAACCACTTCTTGCCATGTGAACAAAGGGTTGTGTGCAGGTACGAACGTTGTACCGACGTTGTTAGGACGTTGATTGGGTACAAGGGCGTGGTTGTTTCCTGTTGCCAGGTTGTATGGTGATAATCTACTTTGATTCGAGCGAATGTTGGTGACTCTAGTGTCGGAAAGAGGGCAATAGCTCTTTGGTTTTGTAACAGAGGCATCTACGACGGAATCCCCTCGCCCGCCATAGATTTCTATATAAACATCTGCTTCTCCCCAGTGTAGAGTTGTTTATTCAGTCAGAGGTCTATCAAGACTACTTATCTAACCCAGACACTCTTTAGTCTTCACCATAGTCTTTCTCTATTATTACTACCAATCACTATCATTGCCCAAGATGCTCTTCAGCAAGACCCTCTCCCTCGTCGCCTCGGCTGTCGCCGTCTGTGCCTCAGCCATTCCCGCCCCTGTCCGGGCCCGCGGCAGCATCTCCGTAACACCCCACGATCGCTACTCGTCCTCCGCCGGCGTGCTAGGATGCAAGATCGACACCAACCGCGTGGCGTACTGGCCCTCCAACGTTGACTGCGACAACCTGTGCGTCAAGGTCTCTGCTAACGGCCGCACCGTTCACCTCCTCAAGGTCGACACTTCGGGCGGTGCCCATGACATCTCCTATGACGCCTGGAACTACCTTGTCACCGGCAAATCTGCTCGCGACGCGCCCACCGTTGGTGGTGGAATCGACGCCACTTGGGAGAACGCCCCCCTATCCGACTGCGCCCATCTCATCAACGAGCCCAAGGGCCGCCTTGCTCTTTCTGCTGCCAACGGCATGAACTTCTACGGCACCTGCGACAACACCAAGACTGCCCTGTACAACATCGCCAACCCGGTGTGCACCAGAGGCTACGACGAGGTGTGCACCCTTGCAGCTGGCGCCAACCAAGCCACCTGCCCACACACTCTAGGCTCTCTCGATGCTTTGACCTCCCAACCCGTCTGGAACATCGACTACGGCACTGGCAAGCTGTCACTCGCAGTTTAAGGGTCGACTATCTAAAGTCTAGACTCTTTAAGAATTTGTTGCGATGGATTAAGGGGTTCACTACATGTAGCCTGTTCTGATACAGGCAAAAATATAAACCAAAAAAAGGGAGGCAATTGTGCTCAGGCAGTTTGCGAGAAAAATCTCTATATGAGATATTAGTTTAGAGTGAATACCAGAACATCGCACTTACTAAATCAGATTTCGTGACTTGATTATACGTAGTGTCCATCAGAGGCTAGGTTAAATGACTCGTAAATATGTCTACTACACTCGTATCTTATACCTCAATGTCAAGCCCGATTGAGTTCTTAAACTATAGTTTGTATTTGATACCAAGCTATCTGACCGTTGAACTGCCTATCCGAACCTTGTACCTATTTACCTTTTACAATGATGTACATGAAACATGGACGCACCAAACACCCCTTGCAATGCGAATAGCAGTCGTTGGAATAAAGGATCCAAATGCAGAAAGATTATAGCCCTCCCTGATCCCCCAGTAGCAGAAAACGCATTAAAGTCCAAGCTGCCATGTCCATGTTCCCCATTCATCCGTGTTCAGCGCGAGCTGTTCGTTATTTTGCGCCGTCGTTTGCTGTTACGTCCAATTACGTCCCTAGGGTCTTGTAGACCCATCCTAATCTTACACCATATCAACTTCCCAAATACGCTTACTCTAAGCAACATTTGTTTCCTTGGTTGATAATGCCTCCCAGCATCCGTACTAGACACCTGGCCAACGCAGGCGCAAGCCATCCACCCATCGACCGTACAGGACGTCCGAGAGCTGCTTACAGTGCTCCATACCCGGCTGAGCATCGCGGCCGGGGTACTTTGCCTGCAGTGCTACCTTCTCTGGGTCTTTCTCCCTCTTCTCAGGACTACCAACACCATTCACTGTCACACTCCCCTGTCGTCTTTTGTGGCTCTTCAGATGAGGG